AAATCATGGTATGTAACAACATTTGATCTATGGAAAATCAGACGTTATTTGTAACTGCAAAGAATCAATATTTTATTAAAATGTTCTAAATTTTAATATTCTCTTTTACATATAGATATATAAAAGAGAAGATTATTTCTTCAGAAATTGACGATATCTATAATGATAGAAAATGACTATAAGCGCTATGTTGCATTGCACAAATTAAATAAAAAAAAAAATTTGAAATGTTTTACACGTTTCATCGAAAAGTCTCTTCGTTAAACATTTTCTAAATTAGGACCATTCATCGCGATATCAAATGCAACTCGGAAATTTTTGCAGTATCGATATGGCAATGTTTTTTCGCTTGAACACTTCTCACAACGTATAATTCGTAAAAATGTCGCAATTCCATTCAAGTCTATGATTTAATGAAAATACGATTTATATGCGTTTTATACTTATATGAAATTTAAATTTCACACGCTGCGGGATCCAATAATTCGTCCCAATTGATACTCCTTTGAAATACCTCTTGCTGTAACCATAATTCATAATGTTGTTTGAACTCTTCAGTCAATTCTACATTTGCACCGAGCACGGATGTTACTGATGCATCAACTGGTTCCATTTCCTCGTCTCGCGGAACGTTTGAATATCTTCGATTATTGAATTGATCGACGCACGTACGTAGTTCGCACTCTTCAACTTGGAAATCCCACGGCCGTGCTTCCAAATCTATTCAGGAACATAAATTTTTTTTCTAGCTTCTGATTAGCATAAAATATGGAGTAAAAATATTTTAAACTATCATCATCGTAGTTTGGGAAATAAAGAACATAAGATTAAGAGGCACCAAAATATTTAAGAAAGAATCTAAGAAGAACTAAAATACTAAAAGGGAAGAGAGGGAAAAATGATCAGAATGGCGAGATTTAGACTAGAGACGAAAGAAAAAAGATATTGAAGAAAAGGAAAGAGAAGATGCAGATTATGCAGAATAAAATTGAAAACAAGGTATGTAGAGAGATGTGTAAGATGAAAATCGGGAAGAACGGGGAGGATGAAGATGAGAGAGATACTAAAGAAGAAATTGGATGAGAAGCAGTGGATAAGACTAAGAGGAGTTCACAATTGATAGAATAAAAGAGAAGCAGAAAGAGAAGCTTTACGACACATGTTAGATATACAACAATATAAGATAGGATAACGTTTTGAAATATCGAATATCTTCTTGAAAATATTAAACATTATAGGCTATATGTGTGAAAGAGAATTAGATTAAGTAGTAATACAAAATGTATTGAAGTTCTTAAAATATCGGGAATAACAATAAAGGCAATACACATATTACCATTGCCGTATGCCCAGTCGTCATTTAAACGATGTCGGACCTTTGCGTAGATGACACTAATAGTTTTCATATTTGTCTTTCTCCACTGTCGACCGAGATATTTCGTTTGCATTTTCAATAATTTTAAAACATATAACTGCATCATCGCATGCCTGACTTTTAACGTGCGTTTTAAAATAGGTGCTGATTTAAAAACGACTAGCATCTGTAAACGTAAATGCCAGATATATATTTATCTTTAGAAATATAATAAAATAAATATTAGTAAAATAAAAATCAACTTACCATTATTCTACTATGTTTCCATTTAGTTAATTTGTTCAAAATTCTTAATAAATTGATGCAGGAGAAAACGTTTCGCCATGAGAAAGATTGACTATGGCCAATTTCAAGGCTTTCAGTAGTTAACTCCGGCTGGTCACCAATGACACACATGGGGAAGTCCAAAATAGGAATACTATTATAATTAAATTATTGGTTATTCTTGACAATTTAAATCACGATTAATTTTAATCGCAAGTTACACATTCTTACTTACACATTCTTTGCTTCAATATAAGCTATAATGTTTTGGTTTAAAAACTTTAATACAAGAGGTATGCAATTAGCAAATACTAAATGCTGTGACATAAATTCGAATTGGTACACATGGTTCAATTTGAAGTGCTTGAGCAACAGTAATAAAATTGCAGAAACGGCTTTAACAATAATCTCCTTATGTCGGTTAACATCGATTCCTAATTTCATTGATTGCAGCACTGTCATTCTAAAAGCATATTGTACATTAATTTCAATATATCGCTAAAAACATATTCATATTTAGCAATTATTTTAAATTGAAAAAAAGGAATAATCAATTATATTCGAAATTTAAAAATTTTTTTAAGATCTTAGATACGTTGTATATATTATTATTTATACTCACGGCATTTCCTCTGGCAACACATCAGCCAGGATATTAATGCTGTCTGTCTTCGCCTTACTAGTTGGTGCAGCAGCAAGTAATATTTTTAATAATGCAATCATATATTGTGGCAAATTTGGTAATATAGCCTGATAAAGAATTTCCGTTGGTGTCTGACGAAGTGGTGGTTCTAGAGTACTCATTGGATTTCTTGCTATTTCTTCTTCTTTTCGTATTTGAATTTCCGCTAGAGACGTGTACATGTGCTAAAAAATATATTATAATGTTAGATATTAGTAGATATTAAGTAATAGTAGATTACATTAAACTAACAAAACTTATGTACCTTTTTAAGCGTAGTGACACCTTCGTGAATTGGTTGCGGTAAACCTGCTAAACTTTCTCTATCTCCTTGTAATTTGTAACCAACAAACTTCATTCTTGCAATTTCGAGGAACGTATCCACATCCTTTTGCCTCACTTTCGGTGTCCATGGTAAACCTAAGGAATGATATTAAATATCAATATCAAATAATATATAATAAAATTGAAAGATATTACCTTTTCCCTTTATGAGCTGCGGAGTACCTGGCCTTAATTGTGACTGATTATTCTGATCTTCGTAATATGTTTGATTCCAACCACCAGGTCCACCAGGACCAAGAAATACAATCAATTCGCCATCTCCTTCATTTGTTGTAGTATTATTTGGAGGCTCTCCTCCGTCATACTCCATACCTAAACCTGGATCATCTAATGAGCTTTGTTTCATTAAACTCTGAAAAAAATGTTTAATAATTAACATTTATAAAAAATATTAAAATATTAAAATTCTTTTATATGAAAGAATTTTAGATCGATGAATTACCCGTCGAAAAGGCCGATTATTCCTTTTCTGATTTTGTGTTTCTAATAAATCTGCCGCACTCATAGGCGGAGAACTAGCTCTCATTGTCCTAGCGACTTCAATAGTGTCTTCCTGTTGCGTATCGAGTCCTGCTTCCTCGCGATACTGCTTCTTCAACTCTCTAAGTGCGTCAATGCCGCCAAGAGAGACTAGGATTAATTTCCACAAAAGCAAGAGAACTTTTTTCATAGGAAAATGTGGTGCCGAACCGCTACAGAAACACGTCACCATACCGAGAAGCTTAACAATCAGTAATTCTTCTCCGTATGGATTTACTGTAGAAGAAAAGTTATTTAAAACTTTCTTTACAATATTGTAAAATTTGTTAAAACATACTGCAAACACGATAACGTACCAAGATCTTCTTTAAACGCTTCAGCATTGTCTTTATATTCACTGTGTTCGATATTTTTTAATTCCTCTCTCATAACTTCTGTTATAATATATAAAACGGACAGTATGACTCTTAAGTCTATCGAATCAGCGAGGCTAACAGCCAGCTTTCTCATCGCTGAGGTAGCAGTTGTGCTATTTCTGAAAAAATTGTTCAGACAGTGCAGAAAAAACTCAACAGAGATTCACAAGTTTGCACGCACGCACGCACGCACGCACGCACGCACGCACGCACGCACGCACGCACGCACGCACGCACGCACGCACGCACGCACGCACGCACGCACGCACGCACGCACGCACGCACGCACACACACACACACACACACAGATGTATATATGGATAAAACTTACTCAATCTCAATGTTTAGCAGTTCAACAAATGCTGGAAAAATGCCAGCTTCATAGAGTAACATTACGTTTGTCCTAGTCCAGTCTTGTTGTTCCTTGTCAGACTGTACCTCAGCCCAACAACCCTGAGCTAAATAAAGAATACAACGTGCCGCCTTCATCCTGAGTTGTTTATTGGAAACTTCCAATTGATCCAATAACTTGTAGATTATCGATTTCTGTTGTGGTCTTGTCAAGTTTTGCCACCACGGTCGTAACTTATACCATTCCATCTGATCCTCAAATGCCTGGAATTTGCAAAAAGTTACTCAGTCTGTTCTTCTACTTGTATAAAATATAATTGTACCTTAAGATTGAGCTGCAATTCATATTGCTCCGTATAGCTATATAATTCTGCGATTTCATTAGCATGTACATCAGTATCGTCATAAACAAATTCTAGATCTGTAGTTCTGTTGCTTTCCTGGAATAAGACGATAAGGCATGTATATTAAATAACTTAAAATAATATACTGTTTAACTATTAAATACTGTTTAACAATTTTAATTCCTGCTGAACACAAATATCATTATACTAAGTTATTATAAAAACATTGCCACACTTATAATTAAATATAAAACAATATATTAATTTAAAAAAATGATTGAAAAATATGAAAATATGTTTTTACATTAAATTTTATATATCCATAACTATTATTATTGATTATTTATCATTTTATTTATATCAAACAAAATTAAACTTTAGTGAATACTTTTCTTTTTATTAAGTTTTAAAATGATCTATGCTAATTCCTCTGAACTCTCTATAAATAGAATTCTATTTATAATTTTACTTTACTTGTTGTATAAAATACAAATATTTGACTTATTTATCTTATTATCTAAATTAGAATATAATATAAAATATATATCAAAAAATATAAAATATATATCAAAATGCATGGCATAGAAAATTCTAATATAAATTTACATTACAGATTTTAGAAAATTTTTAAGTTAAAATTTAGGATAGATTTCTATATATCATAATATGTTGAGATATCTAAAGAATCACAATACATATATATAATAAAACATAATAAAATATAGCATATAAGTTATAAATATAATTCTATCACAAAATCTATTTAGATGATCCATAATTAAAAGATTTTTTTAAGAGCAATGATTCTTGCCAGAAAATTCAGAATATAGAATTCTATTTGTAGCTTTCTATATAATATAACACATTTAAAAATTCCAAATACACTCTTGTATCAAATAGATAACAAAATACAATATATAAAATTATAATTTTATTACAAAGCCTATTTAGATGATTCACAATCAAAGAATCTTTATAAAGAATCAATGATTCTTGCCAAAATTCAGAATAGAATTCTATTAATAATTGACAATGCAATATAACACATAAATAATATTTAAGGACTTAGATTATACATTTATCAAACATATAAAAAGCATACAAAATTATAAATCTAAAATTCTATGATAAAGTTTATTTAGATGATCCACAATTAAAAGATCTTTTTAAGGAATTGACAATTCCTGCCAGAATTCAGAATGGAATTCTATTTGCAATTTCTTATGCAATATAATTTGAAAAACATTTAAAAATTTTAAAAATACACACACACACACACACACACACACAAATATATTAAAATAGATAAAAATACATAAACAGAAACATAAGCGGAATTCTATTCTAGAATCTATCTATTCCGAAGTGAATTTCAGCGTTTAGCTCGACGGTGAAGCCTTTCGGCTAAACTTCGCGGATGCTGCCTCGGAATAGGTTAGGATCGTGCGGAGAGTGATCTGATTGACCAATGGTCGCGCTTCCACGTCATGCAAATTTTCCAAGTGCTTTTCAACGCGATTATTCGACTCACGTCGTTGCTGGCCGCGCGCCGATGGGAGTAGACGGGACCCCCGTGAAGAGGATCTCGCTTGCCGTTCCCGTTCGCGTCCATCGCTACGTCGCACAACATCTCTTGCGGCGGGTGGTGTCGATCGCGAGATAATCTGCCTCTTCAGACCATCCCTACGCCTACGCGAGGGAGACGCTTTCGGTCCAGGACTGATCGCGTTACGAGCCGAGGATCCTCTGACATTTACGCCGCCCGCGAGTCACTCGAGCGGATCGCGACACGGATCCCACATTCCACTGCACCGCCGACTGTTTGTTTCCCTGCTTACGTCACTCCCTAACCCCGATCACGGCAATCAACAGGGGATGGATGGATGGATGGATGGATGGACTGTGTCCCGTGTCGCCGTGCGCGTCCGTGACGCGATCTCTGCTCGCGATCGGACGCGCTCGGCGACGTTCGGCGAGCGGAGCGTTTTCCCGCCTCGTCTCCTGAAAGCGCATTCCCTCTCGAAATTGTAATCTGAATTTTAAATGTCTCTCGTGTTACATTGCGTAGGACATCGTAAACGGAATTCTACTCTGAATTCTGGAAAGAATAATCGATTTCTCAAAAAGGTTTTTCAACCTGGATTATTCAAACGAGCTTCATTATAGAATTATTAGATTTATAATTTTGTATTGCTTTTTGTTATATATAGTAAATTATGAATAAAATTCTATCCTGAGTGCTGGCAAGAAGCCATTGTAAAAGTCTTTTAGCTGTGGATCATTAAGTAAGCTTTGTAATAGAATTATAGATTTCTCCTTTGTAATTGTAAAACGTGACTTATTCGAGCGAGTTTCTTATTAGAGCGAACGAACGCTTCTATGAATATCATTTTTATCGAATCAATATCCACAGACGAGGGCGAAATCAAGTTTCACAGAAACTTAAATAGATTTTTCTTGCGAAGGTAAAAACTTGAAAGATAACTTCAAGTAAAAAAACTCGAGGAAATGATTCGGGAAGATTTATAAGAGCAATCTTCTTTATGTTTTTTTTTTAAATGTTCATTATTTTTCAAAACTTTGCGAGAGTAGAGTATGTTTATTTTATTTTAAGTGTGGAAAATGTGAGAGAGAGAATGTTTAAATAAAGCGAGTAGAACATATAGATCTTCTTTTTTATATCACTTTTTACATTTTCCGCACTTAAAATAAGTGCGTACTTGATATATGTAAGAGGAAGAAGTTTAATAAGAATATAACTTGACAAAAAAAAATACAACGTTTTTCTGTCATGCTGATTATTTCAGTCGCAAGAATCTGGAATACAGCCTGTGATATTTTAGATGAAAAACATTTCCAAGAGGTTTATATTCCGGATACTCAGGATACTTTATCCTTAAAATTTTATCACACATGCGTATATCTACATGTCTAATGTAAACTAGCTTTCATCTAACAATAATAAAAAAATAGAGATTTTAAGAGATAAAAAATTAAAGAAGAAAACTGTTTCAGAAAAAAATATATAAAAGGAGATGTATTATATGAGAAAGAGGATGTATATATTTCCTAACGTTCGTTTCTATCAGATTAACTTTCTCGATTTAACTTATTTCTTATCTTTTTTAGGTCTGAGAATTAGAAAAAGATAAAGAATAGATGAAACCGAGATCCGAGATTAAGATCTGACTTAAAAGTAAATCAAATCAAGATTAAGATTTCTATATTGGCAGAAGTGGACAAGACACTTTAGGGCAATACGAAGGTATAATAAAGACACATAACAAGTTCAGTTAGCGTATACAAGCAAAATTGCATTACTACCACATACGCTCGATTGTTGCGTTTGTAACTTTTGTCTTGCATTCCTAGTTTTTGTAAACATTCGAAAGTACCCCACACAGCAGAAATGCCCAAAATACATAGGAATGTCCTAAAGATATATATAGATAATATCTTTATGACATATTTTGGTCGTTTCTGCTGTGTGGGATCACGAAATAAAGAAATATACGTACAGTCGACAGAAGAAAAAAAAATATATACATGTTTTTTACAGTAAAGTAAGGAGCAGAATGCATTCAACGGATACATCCACATTATGCTGGTGCCCTTACCATGTTTAACCTAAAATTAATCTAACAGGGAAGATTTAACGAAGAATCCGCCCGTCGTCAGCATTCTCCAAATGCAAATGTCATTTAGGACGTTAAACGCAACCATCGTCGACACGACTCGCGAATGAATTCGACGTTGTCTGGCATATTGATGAACGCGAGCGATTGTGATTCTCTTCCGCTCTCTTTCTTTTATTTTTTACATTTCGCGAAAACCAAAGTGGAATCTCCGAAGAGAAGAATGGCCACGCTAAGTCTAATTTCCGCAACCATTCAATTTCTTGCGCACTAGCGCCAGCTGAGAAATGTGTAGATGTGAACTATGTATGGTCAAATTCTCATGATTCTCAATAATTCTCAGATCATCAAAAGAACTTGGAAATAATTGAAGAATATCCAGTAAATACAAAGTAACCTTACAATAAATTATAATTAACATTAATTAATTATAATTAATATTATAATTTTCTATTCAGCATGCAATGTGTATCATATTAGATTTATATTGCTGAGTGAAATAATAATATTGATGTAATGTTACTGTTAATTTTGTGTCTGCTGGAATACTGATATTATCGATTATTAATATAAATTTTTGATTGCTATAAATACGCGAATAATGAATTATTCAATTCATAATTCTTTTATGTATATCCAGTAAACGATAATATTACATTAATGTTACAAATTCCTATTCAGCAATGTATAATGTACAATATTATATCATATTTATATTGCTGAGTGGGAAATTATAATATCGGTGTAATGTTACTGTTTGTGTTTACTGAACAAATGCTTTATAGATAAGCGTACATTCTCATGACGCTTTGATCATATAGAGCGTTGCAAAATTATAATTTTTTGTACAGTTATCATTTTCATGGATAATCAACACAGATAACAACTATAAAAATGTAATTTTAAATAAAATTAAAAATTTAATTATTCATAATCTTTAATAAGTTTATAGCTGTAAAAAAAGGCTGGTGTGAAAACAAAATAATGCGATCTCTACGATTTTAAGTCTTACAGTTGACAATTTTCTCGACCGAGAAATTAAAGTTAAAGTCGGGGATGATGAGACCGGTCCTAAAAAAAGGGAGCAGCCGAAAGAGCAAGGGAAACATCTCGCAGCGCTGAGAGATCGATACATCGTTGGACGGACGCCAGAGTTTTTCGATGTCTCGAAATTCGAAATTTCACGAGTGCCGCGAGCTTGGTGAATTCTCCATCGCGATGGTGTGACGAGTGGTGAGTGCTGACCGGTGGCTTCCATTTTGAGAGACACACATTCCCCGGCTCGCAGACGCGATCCTGTTGTTGTTCGCGTACGCGTGATTTCGACTCGGTGTCTCGACATCGGTGGGTGCCCAAGAATCCTTCGACGTGACCCCGCGGAGTCACGACACGGCGAGAAAGTAACGCGAGAACCGACACGATGCAGGGTACCATAATTGAAAATCTGAGCGGCAAGAAGCTTTCGATATTGGTGATCCTCCTGATAATCGCACAAATAGTTTGCTTCCTAATTGGCGGTTTAATCGGTGAGTAGAGCATCACTCACGTGAACATCTTCGCAAATACGTATCATCGTCGTTCGTATAGTGATTAACGTACGGTATATAAATATATTGTAAATATACTATGTCTACTCCATATTTCTTTTTTATATTTTTTCCATATATCTTTTTATCTATATTATGTTATATACTATTATTGTATAAATTATTAATAATAAAATGATGTTGTTGAGCAATTTTAAGATTGTGTGTACGTTAAAATTTCTATGTTGAATTCACTTTTGTTTCTTATGTTTATTTCTATCAATGTATCAATTGAATTTAATTTCGATTTAATTTATTCGTCGTCTGTTTCTAATTTTTAGAACTAAGTAAAAGATAAAAAGTAAGTTAAACTGATATTATAAGTAATTTAGGTAGAAATGGATGTTACTTACGTTAACCCGATAAGTTTAGACATTCTGTAATTCTCGTCGAAATTTAGAATAGAATTACATCCGTAATTTTTTATATCTTATATATATATGTAATATAAAAATTACTTGAAGAATTACAATTACAGAGACATATAAAAAATATGTATACACACATATATATAGGAAACATAAAATTCTATTCATGAAAATTTGAAGCAAGTTAAATATATTTTTAAATAGGCATTAAAATAGGATTTTATTTGTAACTTTATCCTATATTTCGATATATGTTTTTTATATATTTTAGTATTTTAATTCTTCAAATGATAATTATTACATAAAATTAGAAATAGAATTCTACTCTGAATTCTGACAGGAATTGTCTCTTTAAAGTAAGAATTTAAAAAAAATAATAATAAATTTTTATCAATATAAAAATTTTTACCAATGTAATTATTCGTTAGACGAATTTCTGCAAAACATGATGATATATAATTGATTTTAGCACCTACGCCTGCTAGTAGCCAAAATATTCTTGGCACACCCTGCAAATATGTTAGTGTTAATGGGTCTCATGACGAAAACAAATGGTTTTACTCGAGAGGAGAAGGTTCTTGCACTCCTGTCGACATGCATCACTTTAGTTTAGACACTCATCAGCAGGCTTATCAAGTTGTATACACGTTTCAGGTATATAATTTTCCAAATTACATACAGTAATAATTATAAAAAAATATTTTGAAACTAATAAACCTCTCTTTTAGATGCCCGTACCTCGGAATAGCATGCAGCTTGACTATTCGAGATGGCAGCAAAATTTGATAGGTGTTTTGCAAGTGGATATATCTTATATTAGCCAGATTGAAGTTGGTAATGTATCTATTACCGCTTATTTTTCTTAATTTCTTTTTTTACAATTCTGGCAGATATGATTCTGATTTTCTCTGTAGCCCCTAGGACGAAAATAACATTGGACGCACGACTGGCATATCGAAACAAAGGTGATCCAGATAATGCATGGAAACCATACGCTGCTTCTATCGTAGAAAGAATTTTGGATTGCAGCATAGACAAGGTGAGTACATTTATTTACACAATATTATTAGTGTAGGAACTTGGAAAAATTAATCGAATTCGAATTCCTTATTTACAAACATTTAATCTGTACTATTATATTAGAGTTTAGTAAATGAATACAAATTGATAAATCTATAATTTATTCTAGCCGCTGGAGCACTACAATTACAACTGTAGCGTTATGCCATTATTTGAACTAGGATCTTTGTATCATGATTATTATTTGTTAAATATTCGTCTTCCTTCTGATACTAATAAAAACCAAGGATTGGGACATATTGTGGATTTGTGGCTTACAGTAAGTAATCAGAAATAGTAAAATTCTCATAATATTGTGAATGATAAGTTTGATAAAAATTATTTAACTTAATATATCATTTGTGACATAGGCTATTAATCAAAATGGTGGATTCACAAAGGTATGGGTGAGTCTAAAGACTGTTTATTTCCCAATAGTACTAGGTGTTTTGGCTTGGTATTGGAGGAGAGTGTACATGCTATCCAGATCGCCCGCACTTTTGGAGTACATGCTCTTAGCTTTGGGTTCTGCGTTAACATTTTTAAATCGTATGTAAATTGATTATTTGATTTACAATTCTCCAACTTTCCTATTCACCTAATATTTATCTCTAAATCATTATTATCATTTTAGTACCTTTGGAATATTTAACACTTGCTTACGACATGCCATTTATGCTTTTGCTGGGTGATATTCGACAAGGAGTATTTTATGCAACGTTATTATCATTCTGGCTTGTATTTGCTGGTGAACACTTGATGGTAAGACAATAGTGAATGTTTTTTAAATCGCTTTCATCATTACATTAGCAATGACATATCTTTTTGTTTTATAATATACACATCTTTTGGATTTTCCTAGATACAGGTGAGTTTTAAAGGATAAATTTCTATATATTTTCTTAGTATTGAGAGACACAAACTTTAATAACATATTTTATAGGAGGGTGAACAAAGTAATTCATTAAAATGTTACTGGCGACATCTCTCTGCAGTGGGTACCGGTTGTCTCTCGCTGTTCGTATTTGATATGTGCGAACGTGGTGTACAATTAAGAAATCCATTTTACTCAATTTGGGTTACCGACCTTGGCACAAAATTGGCAGTATCCTTTTAAACCGTCTATATTTAAATTTTTCAAAACAAACTTTAAAATAACTCTTTGAGTCAGTTTCCTTAATCAAACAACAGCTCTCTTTCATTATCTTGGCTGGTATATCGGCCGGAGTGTATTTGCTATTTTTATCTTATATGATATGGAAAGTATTCATGAATATCAGCGCGAAGAGAGCCGTTTTACCTAGCATGAGCTCAGCGCGACGCCTGCATTACGAGGGAGTCATATACCGTTTTAAATTCTTAATGATTGCAACATTATTATGCGCTTCATTAACTGTTATAGGTTTTATACTAGGACAGGTAAAAAAATAATATATTTTAGTTACTTTTAATTAACTATATATTATTAACTATATATATTATTCCTGGGTAGGTTGCGGAAGGTCAGTGGAAATGGGATGAAGATTTACAATTAGAAATGACGTCTGCCTTTTTCACTGGAGTGTATGGAATGTGGAATATTTATATTATTGCATTATTATGTCTTTACGCACCTTCTCATAAGCAATGGCCCATTGAACCGTCAGGTAAATATTTCTGATAAATAAAATATATATTTGAGATTTTTATTATATAATTATTAATTTATTATATAATTTATTTCGTTTAAGTGTATATATCCAATTATTTTTTTAAATAATAGAATTACAAAAGTTTTGCAAATAAAAGTTGTTTCATGTAAACAGTTATATATAATTACTTAAATAAAAGTTAAATTATTTAAATTATTTTTAACTTTTGTAATATTTATTATTTTATTTTTTTAAATAGAATAATATATCTATTTTATTATAATATTAGAAAAATATATCATTACACAAAAAGATGAAATGGAAATTAATAAAATTTTATAAACTTGAGACGCGATAATCCAATAACATAGCTTTTATGATTTTTCGCTTGTGATTTTTTTTTACAGTTATTTAAAACAAGCTAGTTTTCAAATATCAAAATACAAAATACACAAAAATTATAGGAAAAAAATAACAATTGGTATAGAAACAATAATATCACAAATATTTAAAAATGTCGAAAAAGAATTTATATCCTCGCAGGAAAAATATGTAAATAACGGTGGTCACCCGTAAAAAGATAATTGTTATAAAGTTTTATTTACACAATATGAAAATCGAAATAAGGTTTAGTGCATTTTAAATAAAGATTAATATTTACTTTTTTATTAGAAATATCACATTTTTCATATCATGAACAAAAATTACTGAAATCATACTTTATTAATATCATACATTATTGGATTTGTTATAAAATATTTCAAAACTGTAACTAATAAAATAAATATATTATTTTATTCTATAAAAATAAAATTAAAAAACAAAAATTAATTAAAAATTTTTGTTTAAATCATTGTATCCTTTTATATCCTTTTATTTAAAAATTTGTTTATAATTATTATTTTAAAAAATAACAAACACAATGTATATTATAATTGTTATATACTAAATTCTAAATTTTATGTTCAAATGTTCTTATAGTTATTACACGGTAACATTGCTATTTCAATTTTTAGAAAACAGTGTTAGTGAAGAAATCGAATTTTCTCCCTTGCCAACCGATCCAAATGAGATGCTGTCTCTAACTGCATTCGCACGAAAAACAGCAGTAGAGTAAAGTATACATTTCTATTTATGTACATTTTGTAAGAAACAAGACAACACGATAACAAAACTCTACTTAATATTTAATGTACTTAATTGTTATAGGTAGAATTTGTAAGTAGGGCTGTATCTAGATTTTTCACTACCTATTAGGAATCCAATGACTGATAATACTCCTCTAGTAACACAATTTTATATGCCAAATTTAATTATTTATTACTTCTAACTCTTTTTGTATGTTTTTTATATATCTATTTATAATATTATATTATCTATAATAAAAGAATAAGTCATTTCATCTCAAGATTTATTGACATTTGTCATAAATACAAACTTCGAAGTGTATTTAATAAGATTTGGTTTTTATATAAGAATTTAGCGTAATGCATTATAAATATATATAAACAAATACAAAATGATGTATAATAGTTAAAATCACATACTTAAAAGAGCGATATCAAAATTATCAGAATAAAAATTATAAACGTCTAATCGTGTTATTTTAATATAACATTCTCTTTCATTGACACAAAGACATTGTTATATTAATATTCTCTACATCTTTTTAAAACTGCAAAAATACTGCTTAAACGACAATCAAACTTCCAAATCAAATGTTTTTATGCGAATGAAATGAAATGACTTTATGTAATAAACAGCGACTAATTGATAATTGAGATAGGACTTACACAGTATTATGTAAATGTATTATTTAGGATTTATTTCTACATTTCTACAAAGCTTTTAATAGATAAAGTATATCTGCTAATTAATCAATGAAAATCTTTTTTTGATGTTTAAAGTATCGTCAATATTACAAATAGATTTATTTAACTGATATATTTACCTTTTTTTACCGAATGACTTTGAATGAAGTTTCAAAATTATGAGATTTTAGAAACATGAGATGAGGTTTGAATTCAATATCTATTGAATTAACAATCAGTCGCTCTATTAACCACATCGGGGGATCATTTGAATGAAATGTTGAGAGAAAAAGTTAGAGAAAGAATTTTTCTTTGGCATATTTTTTATATAATAAGATTTTTAAAACATCTTTCAGTATTATATGTTAGTATTATATGTTATAGTAGCGACAGTGTCTGCACTAATCTAATAAATCATATTTTATATTAACATGTGACGTGTCCGTTAGCGTAAGAGCTGTAATTATTACGTACTTAAATAATTAATTAATCTTAAATTAATCTTGAACATTTGAAGATATAGCATTCCAATCTTATAAGATGTTGTAATAAACAGTAGATGCGTTTATATAAGTAACTTATATCTAATCAGCTAAAAAGCAATGTCACGAATAGATTTTAGAAAATGAATTTATATTAAGAATTCGAAAACATATGTTTTTTATTAACTTGTCATATGTCAAGCGTAAGGTGCGTGCAGAGAGGAAAGTAATTTTTACGTCTCAATTCAAATTAAAACATGAAAAGCCTCGTATGATATCTTATTATATTATACATATCATTATTGGGCATTCATCTATCATTTGTAACAATGTATTTTATCATGATCGATAGTATTAAGAGTCAGTGTTCATAATTTATTACAGCATGCTTTTTGAAAATAACAACTCTACATGGAAAGTATGTGCCAACTTACTCAAGTCTGACATTTAATAGCATCAGTTTTTTATTATATACATATTGTTATACATCAAGTACTAAGTCTTTCACATTTTAGATGCACTACAAATATAAGAAATTTTTGCACGATTTTCATAAACAAAATTAGATTCAGAACTATTTAGTAATACTTTACTGATAATTGTACGTATTTAATGTAATATCGAGATATTTAATGTAGTACTTAAAAAAAGGCACTGATCGTATAGTAGCATTTTACAAACAAGGTGCAATAGAGTTTTCCTCCGTATATCGACTTCATACTAGTGCGTATTAATCAAGTAACATAGCGATGTTTAAATTAGGCATGCGTAAAGTGAAGTTTATAGAATTAATTATTTTGCTTTTATAAATAATTAATTCACATCGCTCCTTAAACAGCGCCCCAATAATTAGTTCAAGATCTGGTTTCACTAATAATTATCATTGTTTCATCATTATGTAAAAGAAATGTATCGAAAATAACTGTATTTATAAGTGATCCCATACAACTGTACATCGCCTTGCATTCGCAACCATTTTTATATAATTTAATAATTTTTATACACTTTTTAAATAAAGGAATTTGTTGTAATCAGTTCTGCATATGCGATTCAACACATCTGACAGAATAAAAATTTGAATTGCAATAAATCTTCAAATACATAAATTATCTAATCTTCAAATACATATATTATTAATAAAATTATATATTAAATACATAAATTATTACATAAATTATTAAATATATCGGAAAAATGAAGTCTATGTCGGACATGAAGATTGAGGATTACAAACTGAAAATTAGAATTCGACCAATCAGGACAAAAGAATTAAAATCAAAATTAAACAATAAATAAAGAGATTTTACTGATCAAAAAGTTAAAATAATATCAATGAGGGTCGACACTGAATGTATGTGTGTAAATTAAAAATATAAAAAAAATTAATTAAAAATTAATTCAATTAAGTTACCTGATTGGATGAATTTTAATTTTTAGTTTGCAATTTTTGATTCAAATCTAACTTTATTGACGTTAAAAATTCCCGCCGCGCGTTCGCGATAGGAAATGGCGTCGCATCGCGTTCGACTCGCTTGCGGACAGCTTCACTCGAAAGATTTCCAGAAATCGTGCGCAGGCGCCGTTGTCGTTGCTCGTCGGAGGCAGCAGCGTCGACCAGACCAGGAGAGTCCAGTGTGCAAGCAACGAGAACGCAATCAGATGGTGGCGAAGATCGTGGATTGACAGATCGCGGGGTGTACGAGAGCGAGAGAGAGTGAGAGAGGGAGCGCGCGCGCGCGAGAGAGAGAAGGAAGGCGTTTACGCGACGGCGGTTGGCGTTAGGCTCTCTCTCTGGCAGGAGGACAGAACAGTTTTTTCCGTGTGTACGCGCACGCGAGCCAAAAAGATAGGCGAGGAAAAGAGAAAAACGAAGGAGAGAGAGAGAGAGAGAGAGAGAGAGAG